GGACTGGAGGAGCATGGGGGAGGGAAAAGGGGAATGAGGGGCATTATGATCAGCACACATAGTGTAGGAGGGGAGCACAGGGAGGACAAGTAGTGACTCTGTAGCATCTTACTACCCTGATGGACAGTGACTGTAATGGGGTATGTGGTGGGGACTTGATAATGGGGGCAATCTAGTAACCACAATATTGCTCATGTAAGTGTATATTAATGATACCAAAGGAAAAAAAGAGTGTTTAGTTGAGCCAGATAGATTAGAAAAGTCAAAATAAGATTACAGATCTAGAACCTATGCTTATACCAACAAGTACCAAAAGTGTTAACTTAAAAGGTAAGGGAGCAAGTCATAGTTCACTAGACATCTGTACAAATATTTTCATCACCACAACTGTGTGCTCACTAAAAAACTGTAACCGTGACTGGACATGACTCTATAACAGCAAAATCTACCAAACACTTTGCAGCTTCTTTAATACACTATATTTCCAATGACTTATAATTCACCACTGTATTTAGCCATAGTTCATTATTTTTTTTAAAAAGCAGACAAAATAAAATTTTAAATGACAAGCTACTCTTTTATTTATTTGGAATAATGGTTGTAATTAAAATCATGATATTAAAACTCACTGAACCCACCTGTCTTAGTTCTACTGTTGGGCCTCTTCCCAAATCCAAAGCAATCTTAACAGGGACTAAACACGGGTGAAGTTTAAGTACCTAAAGCAATTTAAAGAGGAGGGAGAAAGCACATCTTCATTAAATATAACATATGCAGTCACAAACATGGCATTTCTCCAACAGTTAAAATATTCTGTGTGAAAATGGAAGCCACCTGAAGTCATAAGAAGTCATGTAATGATGAACCCAGCTGTCTACATCCAGCTTCTCATGGGGGTTCCCTACTCAGAGGTTTTGCAGAAATAAGTTCACTTGATACTCTCGCATTTTCTAACAACTCTACTTTTCCCTCAGTCAGAATGTCCTTCTTGGCATCACTGCCTTGCTCGCCCAGCTGGGGCCATGTGGCTTACCATTTGGACTTGCTTGCCAAAACCCGCCACTCTTCTCACTCATTTGTCCATTTAACAAACATTTGAATGGCTCCTTGGTGCCAGAAACAGTTCTAGGTACTGGGGACAAAAATCCCTGTCCCTCGTGGTGGAAAGAAACAGGTAACAAAGTAAATAAGTAAATAATATATTTGAAGGAAGGGTATGAAAAGGGAGAGGGAAGAGGGCTGGCAAGGAATGGGCTCATGGAAGGGCTGTCTCCTCTGTAATGTGACCTTTGAAAAAGACTTAAAAGGTGGTTGGGGAACAAAACTTACAGATACTGGAGGAGAAGCCTTCCAGGCAAAGGGGAAAAGCAGCGACAAGGCTCTGAGCTGGGAGCATGCCTGGTATGTTCTAGAAACAGCCAGGAGGTCTATGCTGTTGGAGCAGACTGAGTGAGGTGGAGAGGAGGAGGTGACAATCAAAAAGGAAATGTTTTTGTAAAACATTTTAACAGCTTGGCTTTTCTTCTGAGTGAGATGGGGAGTTCACTGGAGTGTTTTGAGCAGAGGAACAAAGTGACATGTACCTTTTGAAACGGCCACTCAATGGGGAAAGGAAGAGAGTGTGGTACCTTAGATCAGAGCGGAAGCAGTGGCGGCAGTTAAGAAATGGTTTTGCTGATGGTCTAGATATGAAAGAGAAAGAGAGGATCCCTCTTGTTCATTTACTGTGCACATCTTATCCCAACTTCCCAAACAAGTTGATAAGCTGACTTTCTCTAGGCCATATCAATGGAAAGGTTCAAGTGATAAGATTCAGAGACAGCCACCATCTACCTGTTGGCCTGTGATCAAACAGCAATGTCCTGGGGGCCACCCAATAGGGACGCTTGGTTTTACTCTGTGAGAATCTGTTTGCTATTCCTGTGCCCAGATACTGAAAAATACTGAAATTACTTGTACTAACAGAAATTTACTCAGAGTTTATGTTAGAAACCAAACACAATACCATGAAAAATGGGGAGGAAGAACATATTTTTAGTTTCCCAAGTCTATCTCTGAAATATCAAAACACCTTTCTGTGAAGATTCTTCTTGCTTGTAAAGGAGTTCTCTGTTAGCTGGAAAGAGTCATAGAGGTAAGCCAGCACGCCTCGGTCTAGATTTCCGCTTACAGATAAAACACAAGGGACCACATTTTTTCGTCCATCTCGGCCCTTCACAGAAAAATAGAACAAAAACAAAGTATAATTTAAGAGATTTAGCATCTCTTAAATATGACATATTTTAGATTTACAGAATCAGAATACAAACTTACAAATTCATTTACAAAACATCCACTCTGTGCCAGGCCTAGGCTGGGAACTGGGCCCATAAAGATGATTATGATACATTCTTTGCTCTCAGGGAGTTCAGAGTTTAGATCAGTGAGTCTCAACAGCTTATATATTAGAACTGCCTCAGATGTTAAAATGTAAGGGATTTGGGCCCCACTCTCAGAAATTCTGAACTAACTGGAGTGGCATAGGACCTAAGCATCACCATTTTTTCTATGCTCCCTAGGAGAGGACTGGCATTTGGAAAGGTAACATGCTTAAGTAAAAATTATTTAAAGATTACAATAAAGTTCAGGAGAGCCCTTAGAGAAAAAAATAATTGGTGTGCCTAGGGAAAAAATAATTGGTGTGCCTAGGAGTATAATTTATGGAAATGGAAAGTTTTCATAATAAACAAACATCTCTTAAGAACTTGCTTTAGGGGGTATTACTTTAAGGCTATAATTATGAATATAAAACATACCATAATGCATTATATAAATCACGTATTGATAAACAGACTTATTATTTCCTCCCTTTTAAACTGATGTGGAAAGAATCATCTCAAATTTTTTTAAATGTCAACTCTAAAAATATTTTAAGTTTTGCATATAAACAACTCTACCTTCATCCTTTTTTTCCTATTATCACTGTGCATCTGAATATTCACGTAATTTTCTAATACTTAGAAAAAAAGTTCTCACTCTTCAACTTCCATTAATTATCCATGATCAAGCCTAGTCTTCATTAATATATGTATGTACTGGCAATTTAAACCCATTTTAACTGCACAAGGTTAACTTTAAAGATCAATGTGAATTTGTCCTCAAAGGTTAGTAAACTTCTTGATATCTAAGATTCTGTGCTAACCCTAACTCTATTAGTTGATCTCTTTCACACATTTATAGAATTGATATTTCATACAGCAACTGAGACACTGCACATTCTGTGGTGCCATCTGAATCAGAGAAAGACTAAATCATATTTAAGTAGTAACAATGCTTTAATGCTTTCACTCATCTTTGAAGTGATGACAAGATACTCGATGGCAACTCTCCTTACCTAGAATGCCTGATTTCACAAAGCACACACAATGATTTTTTTCTATCCTAACTCTGTTCTTCAGACATTAATGATCTGCTTCACTGTTCTCTAAAAACCCCTCCACAAATATATTTAGACATCAGCTGTAAAATACAAAATAGCCTAAGATGCCTTTCAAAAAAAGCTTGTAATGGCAGAAATTCCATTTAATAACATGTTCAACTGAAGATGAACAATTTTGTGAACATGGAAACAGAAGAACAACAATTTCATGTAAAATTCTGCAAAAAATAAAACAAAAACAAAAAACACCTTTCATTGAGACAGTGAAAACTACAATAAAGAACAAAATAAGAGACTAATAGGCATGACAAAGAGTTCAGCTTTAATTCCCTAGTCACAAGATTAAGTTGGTTTTTTACTACTACAGTGATTATTTGACTATGACTCTGATAACCCAAGTAAGTTTCATTTGAGAGCTAATATCCCAAAATGAAGTGTGATGGTGTTGGGATAATGGGAAAATGTTCCCAAACTAGCCCTTTAACTTTTCACTATTTAACTTACTCATATTTAAAAATTAACCTAATTTCCATTAACTTTATATGAACTACTATGTTTTCATTATTATATTTCCAAGTTCTAAGTAACTTTTTTACTACTAAGAATATATTATGGGGACTTGTTAATGGGGGGAGTCTAGTAACCATAATGTTGCTCATGTAATTGTACATTAATGATATCAAAATAAAAAATAAAATTCAACCCAAAAAAAAAAGACTATATTAGCCACCAAATAGCACATAAAAACTGTATCTGTGGCCCAGTAGGATTAAAACATTCAAATCTGGACCCACTCCAGAGTGGTGCAGCACGTAAGAGGACTCAGCCACAGTTCTGCCCATCCACATCGCTTCTAAAAGTCCGCATCCACAGGGCACCTTGTAAATAGCTGTAATATTTGTGGCATGCAAAGGCAGGGTTCCTTCTCTCAGAGGATTATATCATCTGTTTAAATTTTTTGAAAACCCTGTTTTAATTTAGGAAGTAAATGAAGCACCTTTTCCCTTTGGCCAGGCCAGAGCTTTTGGTCAACGGGCTCGCATATTTAACTAGGGGGCTGTCTGGGGCTAAACTTTGTCCAGTTGTGATTGGTAAGGTAGGGGGCACTGAACATTCAAATTCAAGGCCAGGCTTTCTAACTTTCCTCCTTCCGTATGTTCTCAGAGCACCTGGTGAAGGGGACTCTAAGGGAAGAGAACATGCCCAGGGTCAAGTCTTCCAAATTGTTTTCCCTCCTTCTTCCTTCCCCTTTCAAACATTCACCTAGAGTGTTTGGCAGGGTGGGGGGAGGGGTGTATCTGGGGCTGATCTTTGTGTAAGAATGGCAGGGAATTACAAACAAGATATGAAAAATAAATACACTGGAGATACCAGAAGCCAGGTGTCTCACTGTTGGAAAAGTGAATTGTAAATCAAGAAAGAGGTAAAGCTGGAAAAAAACCCTGTGGCATTAGACTCAAACCTGAAAAACTGGTCTGAATTATGAATTCCTGGTTTATAATAGATAGATAAATATAGACATAAATACAGGGATGAGTATGTAAATATGTATGTACATGACTGCCTACAGAGATTTCCTGGCTGTGTCCACTGAAAGGGCCCAGAAGCAATGATGCCCAGTTGCAAAGAGCACACCCAGTGGCAAGATCTCAGTTTTCAAATACATTTTCCTTTAATAAGAACTAAGGTTCCTTGGAGAAATGGCTGACTCTACAGCTATGCCAAGAAACAAGATGATCCTGGAAGAATGTATTGCTGCAAAAAGGAAGGAAGTGCTTAGAGAATGATGGAGATACATCTAAAGTACACTGGCCAAGCCTAAGAGAATTTCAGCATCAAAATAAATAATGCTAGAAACAGCTCACAGCTCTCTAAGAAAAACAGGAATCTGTAACCCATATTTACAGAAAGAAAGGAGGGAACAACTCTACAGCATTATTACTGATGAATAAATCTAGAAGGAATGATGAAATTTTTTTTTAAATCACCATTTGGCAACCCTCTTGGTAATAATTGATTTAGGCAAGAATCATCAATGGATGCTGCAACCAATAGGTCAAAATTTGATGAGAAACAGGTTACACAGTCTTAAAGTATCTTCCCCAAAAGATGTATTAATTACTGATTAATTCAAGTACAAAATACTTACCAACTTACAACTGGAGAAACCTGCTAGCACCATCTTCACCAAATGACAAAATTAACATCACCAGTAACAAACTGATACCACATGCCTCCTGCTATAATGCACTGAGAAGAGGGAAGCACCTTTTCTTTGGCATTCCTGGCAAAAATACAGCCATCATGAGGGAACATGAGAGCCACTCAAACCGAGGTACATTCCACAAAGTAACTGGCCTGTACTCTTCAAAAATGTCAAAATCACAAAAGACAAGGAAAGATAAAGGAATTGTTCATTCGAAGGAGACTAGAAGAACATGACAACTCCCTGAAATAAGTGATCCTAGACTGGACATTGAAACTAGGAAAGGGCATTATTGGGATAATGGGTTACATCTGAAGGGTTCCATGGATTGGATGATAAAGCACACACAATGATTTTTTTCTATCCTAACTCTGTTCTTCAGACATTAATGATCTGCTTCACTGTTCTCTAAAAACCCCTCCACAAATATATTTAGACATCAGCTGTAAAATACAAAATAGCCTAAGATGCCTTTCAAAAAAAGCTTGTAATGGCAGAAATTCCATTTAATAACATGTTCAACTGAAGATGAACAATTTTGTGAACATGGAAACAGAAGAACAACAATTTCATGTAAAATTCTGCAAAAAATAAAACAAAAACAAAAAACACCTTTCATTGAGACAGTGAAAACTACAATAAAGAACAAAATAAGAGACTAATAGGCATGACAAAGAGTTCAGCTTTAATTCCCTAGTCACAAGATTAAGTTGGTTTTTTACTACTACAGTGATTATTTGACTATGACTCTGATAACCCAAGTAAGTTTCATTTGAGAGCTAATATCCCAAAATGAAGTGTGATGGTGTTGGGATAATGGGAAAATGTTCCCAAACTAGCCCTTTAACTTTTCACTATTTAACTTACTCATATTTAAAAATTAACCTAATTTCCATTAACTTTATATGAACTACTATGTTTTCATTATTATATTTCCAAGTTCTAAGTAACTTTTTTACTACTAAGAATATATTATGGGGACTTGTTAATGGGGGGAGTCTAGTAACCATAATGTTGCTCATGTAATTGTACATTAATGATATCAAAATAAAAAATAAAATTCAACCCAAAAAAAAAAGACTATATTAGCCACCAAATAGCACATAAAAACTGTATCTGTGGCCCAGTAGGATTAAAACATTCAAATCTGGACCCACTCCAGAGTGGTGCAGCACGTAAGAGGACTCAGCCACAGTTCTGCCCATCCACATCGCTTCTAAAAGTCCGCATCCACAGGGCACCTTGTAAATAGCTGTAATATTTGTGGCATGCAAAGGCAGGGTTCCTTCTCTCAGAGGATTATATCATCTGTTTAAATTTTTTGAAAACCCTGTTTTAATTTAGGAAGTAAATGAAGCACCTTTTCCCTTTGGCCAGGCCAGAGCTTTTGGTCAACGGGCTCGCATATTTAACTAGGGGGCTGTCTGGGGCTAAACTTTGTCCAGTTGTGATTGGTAAGGTAGGGGGCACTGAACATTCAAATTCAAGGCCAGGCTTTCTAACTTTCCTCCTTCCGTATGTTCTCAGAGCACCTGGTGAAGGGGACTCTAAGGGAAGAGAACATGCCCAGGGTCAAGTCTTCCAAATTGTTTTCCCTCCTTCTTCCTTCCCCTTTCAAACATTCACCTAGAGTGTTTGGCAGGGTGGGGGGAGGGGTGTATCTGGGGCTGATCTTTGTGTAAGAATGGCAGGGAATTACAAACAAGATATGAAAAATAAATACACTGGAGATACCAGAAGCCAGGTGTCTCACTGTTGGAAAAGTGAATTGTAAATCAAGAAAGAGGTAAAGCTGGAAAAAAACCCTGTGGCATTAGACTCAAACCTGAAAAACTGGTCTGAATTATGAATTCCTGGTTTATAATAGATAGATAAATATAGACATAAATACAGGGATGAGTATGTAAATATGTATGTACATGACTGCCTACAGAGATTTCCTGGCTGTGTCCACTGAAAGGGCCCAGAAGCAATGATGCCCAGTTGCAAAGAGCACACCCAGTGGCAAGATCTCAGTTTTCAAATACATTTTCCTTTAATAAGAACTAAGGTTCCTTGGAGAAATGGCTGACTCTACAGCTATGCCAAGAAACAAGATGATCCTGGAAGAATGTATTGCTGCAAAAAGGAAGGAAGTGCTTAGAGAATGATGGAGATACATCTAAAGTACACTGGCCAAGCCTAAGAGAATTTCAGCATCAAAATAAATAATGCTAGAAACAGCTCACAGCTCTCTAAGAAAAACAGGAATCTGTAACCCATATTTACAGAAAGAAAGGAGGGAACAACTCTACAGCATTATTACTGATGAATAAATCTAGAAGGAATGATGAAATTTTTTTTTAAATCACCATTTGGCAACCCTCTTGGTAATAATTGATTTAGGCAAGAATCATCAATGGATGCTGCAACCAATAGGTCAAAATTTGATGAGAAACAGGTTACACAGTCTTAAAGTATCTTCCCCAAAAGATGTATTAATTACTGATTAATTCAAGTACAAAATACTTACCAACTTACAACTGGAGAAACCTGCTAGCACCATCTTCACCAAATGACAAAATTAACATCACCAGTAACAAACTGATACCACATGCCTCCTGCTATAATGCACTGAGAAGAGGGAAGCACCTTTTCTTTGGCATTCCTGGCAAAAATACAGCCATCATGAGGGAACATGAGAGCCACTCAAACCGAGGTACATTCCACAAAGTAACTGGCCTGTACTCTTCAAAAATGTCAAAATCACAAAAGACAAGGAAAGATAAAGGAATTGTTCATTCGAAGGAGACTAGAAGAACATGACAACTCCCTGAAATAAGTGATCCTAGACTGGACATTGAAACTAGGAAAGGGCATTATTGGGATAATGGGTTACATCTGAAGGGTTCCATGGATTGGATGATAATAGTGGAACACTGTTACTTTCCCAATTTTGATGGTTGATTGTGGTTATACAGGTTGAGTGTTCTTGTACTTGAGAACTACATACTGACATATTAAGAGATCATAGGGCACCATGTCTGCAACTTATTCTCAAACGGTTCAGAAATTATCAAAGTTAAGAGAATCTGGGTAAAAGATACATAGGAGCTCAAGGTAAAACATACGTGTAATTGAGACACATTTCCAGGATACATGTGTATAAGTTCATGATCTCCTAGATTCCACAGGGTTTCTATTGGCTCCTTTCCCCAGGGAAAATTGTAGTAAAGTTTGCTTCCTTTTCGTCCCTCTTCATCCTGACAATCACCGCTGCTGAAGTTAGATGGACTCATGGCAAACTGGAAAAGAAAATTGAAGTGTGTCTTATTAACTTATTAAAATAAGGATTAAAAAGTACAGTTTCCTGAGACTTTTTATGAAGCAACTGAAACTGGTCAAGTCCCAAATAAAACTTCTGAACTTTAATATGAGTGAAACATGCTCTTAAAAATACTGTTTATAGTCTGGAAGAACTAAACTGAAAGAAAAACTGTTGATGCTATTTAGCCTCTTGGTGGTCAATTAATAAGAGGGGAAAGTAACCATGAACTAAGTGGAATAAAGAAGAAAGTATACACTCACCATTCTTACCCTTCTGCAAAGAGCCTGCTTATTTGTCATTATTCCATTTAATTTAGGTGTTTCTCCAAGAGCTAGAGAAAGATGACAATGGCAGACAAAAATTCTTGCTTCAACTCTTTTCTCTTCAGCATATACTAAAACTTGATTATAAATCACAGAATCATTTTGGCTAATAGGGAGTGTTCATGGAGGTAGGGAGTGTAAGTTCCAGCTCCAGCAGTGGGAAGGGTCAAACTCTACACCAGCCAGGAATGCCAGTTAAGGGTTTTGAACTTTATCTTGAAGGTAAAGCCTTATCAGCGAAAACTGAGCAAGACAGAGAGATCAACACATGCATCTACCAAAGTAACTTTACAATGAAAATCATTGCTGTTTTTTATTTGTATTTGATTATAGCTGTCTCTTACAAATATAACTACATCAAATAAAATTTCATTACTTCTGATACACCAAGGCAATTTATCTATTAGCTATTAAATTAAGGTTAATAATTAATTATTGTAGTACCTTTCTCCACCACAGAAGTCGATGACGTAACCAGAAATCAAGCCACTGGTTTGCGGTTCTTGCTGAAGTAAACCACACCAGAGAAGCTTCAGTCTTCTCACCAAGTCTTTGGATAACAGAAATATCAAGAGTTACTTATCTGAAAATTATATATTCCATCCACAAATGAAAATGAATGGTTCTTGACTATTTAAATATAAGCCAGGTTATTTGCCATATTCCAGGTACCTTTTAACACCATCAGGTGTCGGCTTGGTATCAGAAATGGGATGAAAACACACTCCAATCTGAGCAAGGCCATAAGGTAGCCTCTTGTTTACCAGATCCAGGCAGTTAACATAGTGCGCCAAGGCACCTGTCAAAAGATAAATCGATCGTTGTATAAATCTACTCTATAAACCCAAATCATTTTGGTCAATTTATAGACAAATTAATAATATAATGATGCTAACACAGTGGTACAAGTAGCATGGAGCTATTAAGGCAGATCTTAATTGGTTACCATTCAATTTTAGGTAGTTTCTCTCCAACTTTTTAGTTGGCAGATTTTGAAACCCACAAGAAAGTTCAAAAGATTTTGCCATTTTTTTTTCTTGTTCACACTGAAACATTTCAGCATGCATCTCCTAAAATTATTCTCTGTATATCATTATTACACTATAGAATTAATCATAGTACCATCATTTCATCTAACATATGGTCGATACTCTTATTTTCTCCAATTGCCACCCAAAATGTTATTTATTGCTATTCTCTTTCTCCCTAATTAAAATTCATGCACTGCATTTTTATTAGGTCTCAACTTCAATCTCTTTTAATCTAGGACATTTCCCTTTACTCCTCCCTCTCTAACTTTGCTTTTAATGACATTGGCTTCTGATTTGAGACCAGGACAGTCATAGATTATCACACATTAGAGATTTGTCTCGTTTCCTTATGATTAATTTGGGTTAATCATTTTTAGTAGGAATACTACATAGTTGATGTGTTATGACTTACTGCATCTGAACAGGAGAAACATAATATCACATCCCACTATTCATGAAACCACACTTGATTACCTGGGAAAGGTGGTGACTATCCATTCCCCAACAGTATCCTGCACCCAACAATCTTCCACCCAATATTTTAGAATCCACTGATTGCTTGAATCAGTCATTATACTGCAGATTGCAAAATCATAAAATGGCAATGTTTCTATCTTTCCTTCCACATTTATTACACAGCTTCTGTAAAAACAAACATTCTCTACCTTGGCAGCCTCAATTACTTATTTTCTTTGATTAGCACTATGGATTAAACCTTTTATTTTATTTGATGTGTTATGATCCATTACCATCAATATTTAACATTCAATTTGTCCCAAATTTCACCAGTGAGTCTCCTTCAAGCCAGCCTTTTTTGACATGACCCCACTAATCTTCGAGTAATTCTTTGCTTTCTAGCACCACAAAATGTTCTAAACTCACTTTGTACCTTCCCTGTCCCAGCCATTTCTCCAAGCACTGGTTCATTTTAGAAACCAAAATCTTCATACTAGGTGTGCTCATTGCTTCTAGACACTCTCCGTAAAGAAAATAAGAAAATACATGGTTTTAATAATTATGAGTTCATACTGATATTTCCAATTCAAATTTAACATTACAAAGTTTATGCTTGTCACTTTTTATATTTGCATCTTTGTCTTACAGTGAAAATCTTGGTCCCTAATAACATTAGTCTATCCATCTATTTGCTTTATCTTATAATATATATGAAATAGCTTCAGAATATAATTCCAACATTTCAACTTAGACTACATCTAAGTTCAAGACTTCTTTGTACTTCTTTATGCACTCAGGTTATATCCCACTAAATGACAGAACTGTGTTCAAAAGTTACTTGAGATTTCCACTTCTGATAATAGTAGACTAGCTTGTTAATAACAAGAAAAGTTTGTCAAGAAACTTAAAAAAAAATCTGTTTATAAAGACATAGGGGAACTATCAGTAAGGACTTGAGGGTCCAAGATTTGGAGAAAAGGGAAGGGCAGAGAGGTGAGCACTGCTTTTCCAATTCTCAATTAGCAGAGCTGAGCAGCTGATGTGCTGAGCAGAGCTTCCTGAAATCTTAGGAGCCTGGGAAGTACAAAAATTGTAGTTTCAGGCTCATGCAGGAGTAGGGGTCCTGGTAAACACCCCAGCTTTCACTAGGGATACTGAAAGGGCTACACTCTAGGAGTAGAGCTGAAGTGAAAAGACTGAAGCCTAGTCTCCAATAACTTAATTCCGGATTATAGTAAAATATGCTCCCACTACAGCTGCCTGCCAAAAGCAAATGGAAATCCTCCTAAGAAGACACCACCGAAAGCCTCAATTTATCTCTGCAACTTGTACACAAATTACCTAGAATATCAGGAGAAAAGTGCAAATGACCAAAAGCCTTGAAAAAGATAGTAGAAACATAACATCTGAGTTACTAGACATAGACTTTAAAATATGATTATGTTAGAAAAAGTTAATGACAAAATGGGGAAAAGGTCTATTGTGTAATTAGTCACTGAAAAACAGAAGAAAGAGAATGGGACAGTAACAATATTTGGCTACCTAATGGATGAAAAAATTTTAACACTATTCATACGGAGAGGCTACCACAGTATTTCAAACATAGAACAAAGTAAGGCCATTTTGGGAAAAGAAAGATGTGGCAAATGCTAACTCTAAGCTAAAAACATTAAATAACTAAAAGATTTGGCAAGTAAGAGGATTAAGTTCCTGGAGGCAAGAAAATGTCTGGCACATCAAGAGATGCTATGATGAACAGACATCTAAAATGGCCAAGTTTCATTTTCTAGCAAAGAATAAAAGATTGACTTGTTTTGGGACATGAATGAGCAGTGCTTTTAACTTTCCAGAGTAAAGCCATCATGGAGTAATCAAAGTAGTACAAATCAGAGCTGTTATATTTACTCACCAGTTTTAGTTTGTTTTGTTTTATTAAGGAAATCTTAAAAAGGTTACAATAGGGGTATTAATTTTCAGAGCACCAAGGACATTGGTTATTAGAAATTAACATTTAATGAAAAATGGTAAGGATGGCGTTTTGCAAAGATCAGATGCTGTGGCAGCAAGTCTCTCCTGTAAAAAAACCTGAATTTTTTTCCCCCAGAATCTCTGCAATCATGTTCTACTTGACATTAAGGCAAGTGGTGCCCTATGAAATTTTGTGTATTCACTAAGGTATCACTTATAAGGTCGTTATTATTTTGCTGACTCAAAAATTACCTAAAGAACTTTCAAAAACCAGATTATAGACCAGTTATCAGTAAGAAAAATTGGTGTGTTCGGGGAGGATTTTCTTCTTGCTGTAGAAAAAGGAGCTTTTGGTTAGTCTATTGTGTGTAAAATTGAACAGTAACTGGAAGTATTCATTTATAAACATTGTAATAATGAACAAATAATTGAAACACGTGATTTAATTCAGGTCTTAATTCTAGGGCTGCTCACTCAACTTAAGCCTAAAACTCCAAGGTTGCCCTGTGAAATTGTCAGATCCTTCTGCCAGATTCTATGAAAACAGTAAAGATACCATGGACCAGTTTTCTCAAAGGCAGAAACAACGTCAATATGCCCAACTACTTCAAAAAAGATGAGAACCAGGTAACTTCCTTTCCAAGTGAATAAAGGGCCAGCTGCAACATGCGGAATCGAGATTGCCTTTCCACCCCATACCTATTTTGAAGCACGAAATCTTGAAGCATACCGTGAAGAAGGTTCTTCCGTAGTTTCCCAGAAGTTTTTAGTAAGTTCTCAAGAAATGCTACTAGCTGTTCCTTACTCAGCTCTTTGTCTTGCAAGATTTCGCGTAGCGTTTCTGCAGAAACTAACCTGAAGCCACAGTCCTCAGGCAGCGAAAGACCAGGTTCCTGGTGGAGGGCGTCTACAGGGAAGACCTGCTCCCTGAACACCACCACCGAGGACCACCATTCTGCCGCCAGGTTCTTCCGCAACTCTATGCCCAAGGGACCAAAGCCAGGGTGGCACCCGCTCAGAAGAGAATCTCGGCTAAGCTGCCGCATGGTGCCGCTGAGGAAATGCCTTCTCTGGCAGATCTCTATCAGCGCCTCGCTCGGTTCGCGGGATTCCGAGGCTTCTCCCGGCTCGCTCCCGCTGAGCAGCTCTGCGTGCGACCGTGGGGGCCTTCCTTGGGAGCTACTTTCCTCCGTTAACTGCTCTGGCTGCCCACCATCTATTCGACCACCAAAGCGAGACGACAGACACCTGCAGACTTTCCGGCAAGCCTTGACAGCTGCACTAGAGCGCACCGCCCTCTGGAGATGAAGAGCATAGTCACCCATTTGGGTACTGATACCATTAAACCGCCACAACCAGAGCCCGGGGGCAAATAGCGCATGCGCGGCGGAAATGCGCCTGCGCATAGACCCCACCCACGGAAGCGCGTCTGTGTTCTGACTGAGGGGGCCGTTAAGACCCTGTACTCGCTTTGCATAGGTTCCCGATCTCCGTAATTGCTTTAAAACATCAGCCCTGTGAAGGTCATCACCATCTACTTCTCACTACAACAGCTTTAATCCATTGTGGAGTCAGCTGTACTTCCCTACCAATACTTGCAAATAACACATTTAGCTGCCCTCCAAAATACCACCTGTAAGAGGGGGTCCTTAACGTTTGGAGCCCTCCAGAAGGTAGATCCGCTGGTGTACAGGTTAAGTTGTTGAGCGTCAACATTAAATAAAACCTGACAACTGGGGGTCCAGGGCCACCCAACAGGTTTGTGAGTTTACAATCTCCATTCTAACGCTTTGAAAATTGCCCAAATAGTGGAAAAGTGGTACAGCCCAGACTGAGAAATGTACTTAACTCCAAAGCCCAATTCCTACTCATACAGCTTCCCGTTAAGTGGTTAGGAAACTTTCTAAGGTAAAATCCAGGTGAAAACACACTACATTACACTTGGACTACCAGGGGAGGAGCAGGAGGACAATAGCTTAGAGACTGGGTCGACATTACAAGAGTAGTTAAAATTTTCATGTGTAAGGTATTATAGGACAGCTTCAGGTGATCAATTACAGGCATGTGTGCAAAAGCTTGTAAAGAGAAACTGGAAAATGAATCAGTACTACTGGAAAGCAATTACATTAAATCAACTGCAAAGCTGGGCACACTGTTTCTATGTATTTTCCACTCAGGAAACAGGTCTATATGCAAATAAATGAGAGAGAGAATGGGGAGAAAAATCACATTTATTAAGACCACAGGTTGGACACAAAACACATGCTAAAAAGTGGACTGTCTTTTAAAACTTACTTCAAAGGTAAATAGATAAATGTTTCCCACAGCCCCACAATCATTTCAGTGTTTACAAATTAAAAGGCCCACATTAAAACATTAAACAGTTAAATATGTAAATAAATATTCCAACCTACCCAAAAGCTTGTCATAATGAATTTGACTAACCATGCTGTTGAAAGCCATTGTTTACTGGAGGTTGAATCAGTTTTTCAGTCCTAAAAATACCACTCCCTATCCCCACTTCAAACTCATTTTACATTTTTTAGAGATAAGGCATTCACACACCAATTAAGCCTGTTTAATAATCAGAATTTAAATGAAGCCTCATAAAGACCCTCTTCTTGCAAAAAGTATATACCAGACTCTCTGGGAAGACATTGTCCTACTTCTAACCATTATTGAAATCAAGTATGAGAAAGAGTGGTAAACAAGGTTAAATCTACAGCTACCCTGGATCTTTCTGGTTGTAGACTCACACTGACCCTAAAACACGATGACCTGTACCAGTCACTGTGCTTTTTTGGTTGTGTTGTCTTCTGTTAGTTGTTATCCATTAACTTTGACAAGATTTTTCTTGTATTCATTTATTATGGACCTTACAGTTGTAAGTCAATACAATTTCCTCAATTATTGGGAAGACATTCACAACTCCGTGTGTGACTACACTGAAGAGCCCCAGGAAGCCTATAGACTAAGATCTGCACAACACCCACAAAGAACACTGAAAAACTCAAACCTAGCTCTTGGTCATCTTGAAAAGGTGTTGTCTTTGAGCTGTTGAACATTTCAGTAATTTATTATAATAGAGCCAACAGCATACAATCTTTTGAAAAACAAGTTATCAAATTATATTTTGCAAAAGAACAAAGCCATCCATGTTACTCTAAGCAGCTTTTGGGGGGCTATGCAGTTACTACTTAGCACCTCATTTTACCATTTCGCTAACAAATAGGCTATCTGATGACTCACCTCATGCTGGGAGGTATAAACAGAAAGCCTTTATTATGCACTTTAGCTTAGCCATTATAAATTCACCTAACTCAATCCCTTTTAATTCTTGCAATATGAATAGATCACTTTAAGAAGGGCATTCTGATCTCCCCAATTCATAAAACTAAATTATGGAAAGGAGCAGTCATTTTAGTTTTTACGATTTAAGAAAACAGACCATCTAAAGTAAGGTTTTACATGACATTATATATGTAAAATAAAGTACAATTTCCACTTAATTCAGTCTTCAAATATTTTTATTGGAAGGCCATGCATTGCCTTCGTTTATTGTATTTCAAATCACTGTACATTTACTTTTGTGAAAACACTGCCTGCATTTTCTAGTACAAAAAAAACCTAAAAATTGTTTCAGGAATGTAGAGAAATATCCAACTTAAATAGCGAAAAAGTGCACCATAATTACTGCTGCACTGCAGTTATTTCTGCATTTCCCATGTTTCTTAAATAACTATCTTGTCTGGTAACACACAATATAAAGAGCAATTATGAAAAACCGACATTTACATATACCTCTGAAGTCTTACTGAGAATATCCTGTTGGCATTGGATAACCAATCATAGGCGCAGCTGCAGTAGCAGGATATGCATATGCCTGTTGGTTCATACCATTGTGCATATTTGGAACATTAGTTCCATATTGCTGAGTGCTATCATAACCGTTCTGGTAAGTCCCTGTTGGGTTACCAGTCCTAAAACTGGTCTGTATACCAGCAGACACAAAATTACTTCCAAAGCTCCCATTGGTGTAATTTGCAGCACTGTAAACACCATTCTGAGTTTTTGCCCCAAAATCTCTCTTTAGCAAACTAGAGTAGCCCCTGTCGTAATTTTCCCTGTCTCTAAAGGTATTAAATCCGCCCCTTTTGCCCGCAGAGTATCTGTCCCGACGGTCATCCTTCATGCCTCCTCTACCCCTGGAACGACCTGTCAAGGGAAAAAAAAGGAATTGCAGACATTATTTCAATGAAACAAACCATTACTAACAGAACCAGGTAGCTCCATTCCCTAGAGGGGTAAAGTGTTTTCTCAACTTAGGTTCACACACTGATGAAGGTTTTACTCACCCGCCAATCCCATAAGTGGATCTGTAGACAATTATGTGACCCAAAACCACCAACATTTCTTACATAAGGTTGGTCTTACCTGAACCTCTGTCTTCGACCAACTGAAGCAACTTGGGATTAATTGCTTGATTAGCTTCACGAAGCACAGAAATAAGGTCGCTCACTTGCTTTATATTATTAGGTGTAAAGAAAGTGTATGCTGTGCCTGTTTTGGTACTGCGAGCAGTTCTTCCAATTCGATGAATATAATCCTCTGAGGAGTTAGGGTAGTCATAATTGATGACAAATTTCACATCTTCCACATCTGTAAGGTGTTGCAGTGTGGCAAAATAGCAATGTACGGAGTTTTGCACACCACAACAGCCAGACCAAAAATAAAAAGTTAGACAATTGTATTCCCAAGAAGGTATGGGCTGTAAAAAAGTTAAAATGGTTATCCATTCCCTGTAGGAACTCCATTGAGGTTGGGGGGGAAAAAGCTCACGTCATCCATGTGTCTCACTACCCACCCAATGATAGAGCCTGTTAAATGGACGTGTATTCCCTAACATTCCCAAATAAAGTCCCCTTACAGATCATCAAGTGACATCTGAATGCTTCTGCGCAGTAGGGCCACTTAAAGGTTCACAGCAACCTCTTCATGGTGCTCATTTTGAGGACCTTTACAAACAAAAATGTACAATGGTCCTTTGCATTACACACTCATCAGTTCAAAATTCTGGCCACACTGCTTGTCTTGCCAAGACCTTACAACCGCAGCTGCAAGAAAAACATACCTGTCCCCCAAAAGTTGTTTTTATGCACTGTGTCTCGTCTAGGCAAGCGCTTCCAAGAAGCCAGGATTCACTTGAGAATGTGTCTCTCTCTGGCAGGTCTCGACATGACGACTACTGTGTAGGTTGAGGGAGGAACTTTCAAAGCACTGCTTTCTTTTCCCACTGATTAAGTGTGAGAAGTTGATCCTGCTCTAGATCTCATGTGCCAGTACTCACCAATTTGTAAAAGGCTTAGTACCTTTTAAAGCTGCTCTCTCCATTTCAAACTTGAACAAAAATTTCACTGAACATTGAAGTTTGGGAATATTTCTTCAACATTTCAGCAAACTCACTGAAACGCAAAGACCCACAGATCACAGTAAACAGTCTGAAACAATGCTGTACCATGGCAGTCATGCAAAGCATGGGACAGAAGAAATACCACGGCAGTGAACTGTGAGGATAACTTCCATTTTTTTCCCCCGGAGAGAACAGTTTACGGGGCAGAGGTGGTATGTTCTGCCTTTTGAAGATTACTGGCACACTTTCAGCTTTTCACCTCTCTAATCGACTGGATGCAGCCAGCCGATCACTAGTCCTCCATCCCCCTCGAGTCCTCCGATTGTCATGCCTAGGCCTTGCCACAAAGACTGCACCTTTATATGAAAAAAACTTAGAAAAAATGCAGAGGTTAAAGAAAGCAATAAACTTTCTTTAAAAAAATTATGTGGAGATCTTCTGAGAAACCAAGCCATGAATTCGAGTTTTACTAACCTAGCCCTCTGGAGGCCACATCTGTAGCAATCAGAATAGGAGCTTTTCCGTGTTTGAATTCTGCAAAAGAAGGTATGATCACTAATCCGATAGGTCTAGGTTTGAGAAAAAGAAAACTCCATCTCAAACACTTACCATTTAGAACCCAGTCTCGTTCCTGTTGACTCTTGTCACCATGGATACCCATGGCAGGCCACCTAAATTAAAAGTTAGTATTAGTAGACTCATACTAAAAACCTGATAAATTTTATCTAGTGCTTAGCCATTTTTGATTAAGATCTCTTTAATTTCACCTGAGATAACACAGTTTTACCTATACAACCCATGCTTCTCATCTATGACACACTAATCTGTTACTCCTGGTCTAAATACACCCATCTCCTAAACTCAGCTCTAATACATCTGCTTCAATAAAGCCCACGTACCCATCTCGTCTCATTTTTCTAGTAAGTTCATCACATCTTCTTTTGGTTTCAACAAAAACAATGGTTTTATTTTCCTTCTCACTCATGATCTCTTCCATTAGACGAATAAGTCTTAAAATAAAGAAAAAATTGTCAATTTTAAAAGCCCATGGTTAATGGCCACACCTTTATGGTCAATAAAACACTGACTTCAATTCCCATAGCCAAAGTCAAAAAGCAAACACCTGCTTAACCAATTATGGAGCAATTATGCCCTTGGTCCTCAAACCACTGAATACAAATTCCTTTTTCTATAGAAAGGCTTTAAACACGGTGGTAACTATCTTAAAAAAGACAGTGTTCAGAAGGATTGACAGACTAAGGTTAAACAAGCATACTCAGATTCCACCCAACTGGCAGTTACTTTCAAGGTAACTAGGGAGCTCTCTTCAATGTACATAGCAAAGCTTTTTTAAGAGCAAGACTTATAGAAAACTTACTTTTCATCCTTTTCTACATCATGACACACATCCACAATCTGGAGAATGTTGTGGTTTGCACTCAGTTCTAGTGCACCAATGTTTATATGAATATAGTCTTTCAGGAAATCTTCAGCAAGCTGTCTTACTTCTTTTGGCCAAGTTGCACTCCACATTAGGGTTTGCCTATCAGGCTAAAGAATTTTGGATTAAAAAAAGGCATTTATCCAAATGAATTCAGGGTTAAGTCTATAGATGTAACATACTTAGCACTTACTCTTATCTGATCCACAATCTTCCTTATTTGGGGTTCAAAGCCCATATCAAGCATTCTGTCTGCTTCATCAAGTACAAGGTAGGTGGTTCTTCTCAGATTGGTTTTCCCACACTCTAAGAAGTCAATAAGTCTTCCAGGTGTTGCAATACAGATTTCCACACCTTCAATTGAACACATAAACGTTAACTGTGATATTAAGAAATTTTAGCACCACCAGGACAAAAACCCTTTTTTGTTACATGCCTCTCTCCAAATCACGAATCTGTGGTCCCTTGGGAGCACCACCATAGATGCAAGTGGACTTCAAGCGACATGCTCTACAGTACTCAGCAGCTACTTGCTGTACCTGTTGGGCCAGTTCCCGAGTTGGTGCCAGCACTAAGCACTAAGAAAAGAGAAACGAATTTAACAGCTTTTAGCAGAATTCTGGATCCCAGTTTTAAACTAATTTATTAGTGTTATACCTGGCAGATAAATGTTATCTTGCTATCTAATACCCCTAACAGCTAGCTTTATCTTTGGCTAAAGTGGGTAAGAAAACTAGTTTATCTATATTACCACCTCCCCAACACACACAATTGTGTCTTTTGCTATATATGTTCTATAAACCTTTACGTTACACTTATAGTTAGAAGAAAAAAAAAGTAAACTTACAATAGGCCCATCACCTCTCTCTAGGAATGGCTGATGATTGATATGGACGATGGCAGGCAGCAAATACTATTTGCGGAAGGAACAAACAGAAGTTGTATTAAAAAATACTTTTGGTTTTTTATTCCCAATCCATTTTCTCTAGCACACAGGGTGGCTCAAAAGTTCTCCCAAACTTACAGACAATGTTTTCCCAGATCCAGTCTGTGCTACTCCAACCATATCCAATCCACTTAGAGCAACTGGCCATCCCTGAGCTTGAATAGCAGTGGGTTCAGTAAAATTTTGTCTTGCAATCACATCCATGACGTTTGCTGTAATTACCAACAGCAATTTAATAAAAATTATTAATGCTGAGAATTAAAAAAAGAAAAAAAAAAGGGCAGGAGAAACTCAACACTATAGACTTACCAGGGAAGTTTGCTTCATAAAAATTCAGAACTGGCTTTGGGCAGTTGTGCCCTCTAACTGTAATTTCCTTGCTTCTTCTGTATGTCTCCACCTCTTGCTACAAAACAAATCACAATAATCTAGTAAGCCTCACCAACCTCCTCCTCTAATTAAATAGACCACCAGTGGGGCACACTAAATTTCTAATTGGTGAAGCTAATTTAATATGGCCTATTTTAATCTGGAATCTCAAGAGAATCCCATACAGCAAACCCAAGAACCACCTATTGTGTCATACTCAACCGTTGTTACCTACAACAATTCAAAGCCACCTATTTCCCAAAATAACATCTCTTCTCCAATTACTAAGAAAGTGTGACTCTCCCAAAATTTGATCATTTTTCTGGTTGTTTCTGATCAGAGTTTGATGCACTTTAAGTATTTAGTTATTATAGCCTGACGAAGTCACATGAAATTACTTACTGCTGTGCGCCTAGCCAAATCAGGGTGTTCTTGATAAAAATTCTTCTCAAATTTGGGCAGCTCATCAAGATTCCACTTCTTCTTAACTAGTTTCTCTCCAGGATTTCCAAACTTCTTTCCAGACAGGGGCCCTGCCCTACTTCCTCCAAATCGAGGTGCACCAAACCTGGAAAGAAAAAAAGGCCGTATTTTCAAATGCCTACATAGGAAGTTTTATATGGACTTATCATCCATTCTTGGCGCCTGCCAAAGGTTAAAAAAAAACAACAGAGAACAAACAAACTTCTGAAGTCTAAGCCTTAGCCCTGTCCAAAGAGTCATTCCCTCAAAAGCCTCAGTTAGTGCCGTCTCATTTCCCATTGCCCCGAGTACACATTATTAAAGCCAAATAGTCCAGGATTTATCAAGTCGGAAACTGGCTGCCCAAACGCCACAAGTTCAGATTACGGATAGACGACTGCTCATAGCTCCTCATCTTTCCCACAAGCTTAGAAAGGAAGTATCTGGAAGAGGAACAATACAAGGGAGGAGCTTTAACAGCGCTCTTATTTATCAGCTGTTTTCACGCAAAGGAGCTTTGGTTTTGATGGATAACGGGGGACGCGCAGGCAGTGGAAGCCGAACCAGGAGACTGGTCTCGAGGACCGTCGTGCAAACTAACCGCGCCGAGGGGTTCGCGCGGAGGGGCTCCGGGTCAAGGTAGGAAGATTATATAACGCAAAAAAGAGGAGGAGCTGGCGACTACCGGGGGAGGAGTCCCGGGCCGGGCGGCGTTCCCGCTGGGGCGGCGCTTCCCTCTTTGTCTCGCATTTCTCTCTGCGCCACATTTTCTCGGCGCTGCCATTTTGAGCTCCTCCGCCGGGCGGGGTAACAAAGGCGCCGCCGCCATGTCCGAAGCCGGCATTTTGTATCCGCGGCTCAGCCACATGGCCGATTCCCGCGGCCCCAGCTACCCTATTTTGCCCCTGCAGCATCGATGGCTTCGAAGTGGCCTCCTCGGCTCCCACATTATTCCCAGGGCCCGTAAAGTATCTCCCAGAAGGTTGCATCTAACAGCGGCAACTTGGTCTGCCTCAAAGCGTCGAACTTTCCTCCCCTCCCAACAGCTGTTAAACTGCCAGAATCCCCACGCCCCCTCCCAAACAAAAAGCGAGTTAGAGGACCATTTACAGTAAAATCTTTCACTTTTGGACAAATCAAAATGGCGCAAACCTCCGATGGGGGAGGCCCAACGATAAGCTAGAAAAGCCAAGTTCCCCCGGCCGCCTCCACCCTGCCCCGCGTCACCCACATCGGCCTCCCCTCCCCCACTCACCAGGCCTGACAGGTTAGTTCCCACACTCACCCTCGATCCCGGCCGCGGTCTCGGTCACTCGAATAACCCGACATGGCGTCAATGGTTGCGGTTGGCGGGGAACGAAGTTGAGAGAATTGGGTGCGACGAGTCGCCAGAGGTGGCTTTGGCGACAGCGAAGCCTTGCGGGGGCGGGAGCAGCTGAGGGACAGCGATGACAGGCGTTCGAGCTGCTCAGCAAGAGACCGGTGGAAATGAATGAGGTGCCGGCCTCGTCCTGGCAGCCGGCTTTATAGCCTGGACCGCCTCCTCCGCCGCGGAGAATGCTGGGAGCCGCTCTATGACCTAATCACCCCGCCCCTGCGCAGAGGCAGCAACGCCCGCCGGCGTTCCGGGATCCGCCATGTTCTCCCTCCCCTCGCCCCCCGCGGCCCCTCACCCAGAATCGCCCGTTTTTCGCCCCTTTTTAAGGTTGGGTGAACCCACCCACCGCCTGGATGTCTCAGCCTGCGCTCTCTTCACCTTTTTCTCGTGTTTCCACACCTCAAAGAAGCTACCCCGCCCTATTCCAGAGACAGTTCAGGCGATAAAATTGCCAGCAGAGGCCAACCCACTCTGCCCACTTGGAAATGTTTACGTCTCCAAAGAGCCCTCATGCCCAGAACCGAAAGGGTCGGGAAGGCGGAGCCTGGCATTATCACGTGGCTGTCCCCTCCCACCGGCTGAGAGGGCCGCACTACTTTGCCAGTTGGTGCCGGCGGAGGAACACAAAACTAAAACCTCAGTAAACCTCGATGCTGATACCCCCGGGAGACCGGCCAGGGCTGCTGGGTGACCCGAGCTGTCAAACCCACCCAGCTGAGACTCCCCCAGCGGGACCTTGCCCGCGGAGAATGGTATCTAGAATCCGCAAACCGCTGCCTCGGCGGGAGCGGCGAAAGGAAGTGCGTCTCTGACGGCCAATCAGAACCTAGATGCCGTTTTAACATCCCTCCCTCTTTCACCTCCCCACCCCACTTCTCTGCACTCTAGTTTCGTTCCCTGTCCTCCTAGCCATCTGTCTGTGCCGTGCGGCGGTTCCTGGACACCGTCCCCCTCGCTCCCGGCTGGGAGTCCGGCAGCAACCTGCCTCCGCGACATGGCCGGCTTGGAGGCTGGTGAGTCTCGGCCTGGAGCCCCCGTGTGTATGGACGGAAGCCATTAAAGTCCCGAACGCCCCAGCCCATTTTATCTTGAGGCCTCCGGCCGGCCTCAGCTAGGTGTGGACTGCGGACGGGGCTTGTGACAGACACCCAGTCGTAGTCGGCGGGTTCTCAGATAGGGTCTCGTAGGCTTGCCTGCTGTCGCTTTGAAGCCGTACAGTGCGATTTTGGGGTGGGTGAGAGTAGGGCCCTGTGGCGAGGCTCGTTTTGCACGCACGCCCCCCACGTATAAAAAAGGAAGTGTCTTCCTCGGACTTAATTTCTCTGGGGAATCTATCCAGTCGGTGTGCTCTGTTCTTGCATCGCCGGACTGAGGCCATACCTGCAACTGTATTGAACTTTTGAGGAATGTCACTCAAGATCTGTTGATGCCCCTTCCAAGGGAAATGGTGAATTTTCTCTGCAATGCCCTCTAGAGGTACCGGCTTTGTCCAGCACCGGTTTTGAAAAGTGAATTCGGTTGTCTAGGACGCTTTCATCCTTTTTTATAGGAGAGTCTTCAAATTATTTGTCATGGTGTGTCAGCTGTGAGAATTGTTTATGGGGAGAGGGAGCTAATACGCGTTGAAGATACACACTGTTTGTTTCTGGGGAGAGGGAGACAGTGTGCTTGAAAACACGTTTCTATCTAAAATGTACTGAGGATATCGAATACAGAATCAAAGAACTTACCCCTTAATCTCCATTCATTTCAGGGAGCAAATATTTCAAGCTTTCTAAATTACCTTTGGTTACAAAACCCTTGAAATAACTGCTAATCCCAGCAGTACTTGGGAGAATGGGGTGGTACACAGGAAGCTTCAACAGTACTGGTAACATGGACTTTTGTGTGTTATTTCCCATATTTCCTTTCATGTACATCAAGTAGAACTTTAAAAGCTAGCAAAAAGCGATGGTGTCATTACTCCAGTTCTCAACAGCCTGTTAATCACTGTCTGTTTGGGCACCAGGGAAATTCAGACTTGGACAAGATAATTAGGTAAAAACATGACTAATGCTATTGGGAATTGAAGCAACATCCATTAATTAGTTCCTAGTAACAGACTGTCAACTGTCTTGTTTATGACATAATATTATTTATTTGTAAATATTTTTTAAAACACCATATATGACTTATTAAGAACTACAATAAATACAAGTTTTAGGTTACAACAGTAAAAGTTGTATTTGCATCATAGTTTTGACTACATCGAAATTATAGCACTCTGGTAGTCATCCCAAGAAATTAAACACACCATTTCAAAAATCATGCCTCATAGGGTCTTTGAGAGTCTATTATAACTACCAAATTCCTTATCTTCTACAGAATTCATGTCTGTTTGGTTTTTTTATGTTTGTATATGATTTTTTTTCTAGCACTATTTAAGTCTGATTTTTTTTTCCCTTCCTTTCCCAACAGAGTGGGTAACTGTTGCCAATAATCTTCTTTTGAAATGTCACATACACCTAAGAATACATGAACTGAAAGACTGTGATGCTAATGTTTTTATTGCTCTTTATCAATCCATTTTGGGAGAAAAGGTACCAGGTAAGGATACTAAAAAGGAGGAGTAATAGTGTCTATCTTATGCCAGAAGTTTCTAGTGTATGTAGTTACATCCTATGTTATTTATAGAATGAGTTTTCTTTTTGTATGCATGTTACTTCTATCTAAATATTGCATTATATTAATGAATAACTTGAGACCCATCCATAATTATGGCCTTGTTCAAATCAGTTTAATCATCTAGGCATCACTGTTTAATCATGCCTGATGCCTTGTGAAAGTCCCATCTTGTCTGTAAATACGCCTTCAAAGCTCCTAAAATTGAGGGAACTTGGAAACTTCTTAGGTTCTGTTACCTAACCAATATTATGGTTAAGAATTGGTATTTGTACTGTATCCCTGGTTAAATATCTGACAGTCTTTATCCATGATTCCTCTACTGCCTCCATTTCTTTATATAGTTTATAATCATTAATTACTAAAGCTCTGTATAGTCTCTTTCCCACTGTTATCATGAATCAGTTCCCTTATCACTTCCTGGAATAATAGGATGGCCTCTAGCTGAGATCTCTGATGCTAGTCTCAACCCTCTTTAGAGAGCAGAGGCACAGTTATTAGACCAGTCTTGTGAAATATTTTTTTTTATCCTTCCCCAAAACATTCATCTTCCTCAATACCAGAGGAGAAACTGCAAATTTAAATTATATTAATATCTTTCTACACTCTGGTCTATAATGACCTTTTAAACCTTTATGCTAGTAAGTCCCAATAGGCTGCTTTAATGAGACATACAAGAACTCTCCTTTTACACCTGTGTGGGTTTTCTCATGGAAAGCAACCCAGGGTTCTGGGTTAAAGTCTCATGTATTGCCTCTCTTACCAGAATATTAGTATCTCCTTAAGTTTATGGACCTCTTTATCTTTCTTTAACATGATGCTTATTGTAGAGCAAATTCATAAATATGTCAGTTGAACAAATATTCAACCAATAGAGATTCTACTGCATGGAATTCAGGCTCTGTTAATTTTGTAATTTATAGCCTGTTTTGTTTAGGTGGGGCTTAACTTTTATAGCAGTTGAACTTAGAAGCCCAGTCAGACTTGGTGAAAACTTGGACCCTATTAGACGCAGAATTATATAGCTTTTTTCCCACAGACCTCATAGCTATTCCCAGGAGCCAAGAGGATGAAGTTCACAATGTACAAGCAGTAATTGATTCACTGGCCTTGGATTATCTGCAGGTCAGCTTGTCTCACATAACAGGTTGGTATATACTTAACCACCAGATAATTTTGCATTTTACTAATAGAATTCATTAGATAGAACCCTAGACACTGTTTAATTAACCAAATAGTAAGCTATGAACTAGACCAAATGACAAGATTGAGCCAAGATGATTGACAGATAGAGTTAAGGCAGCCATCCTTGAGAGCTTTTCTAGGAGAGTCAAACATTGAGTTTGTGATGGATATGGGTCTGAGATGTTAGGATCCTAGCTGGCAGTTTGAGGTATTTTTTTTTATCCTTCCCCAAAACATTCATCTTCCTCAATACCAGAGGAGAAACTGCAAATTTTGTTTTGTTTTTTTAAAGTTGCCATGCTGCTTGTTTGTAGTACCTAAAAATTAGAAACACCTAAATGTTCATTAAGAGGGACAGGTTAAATAAATTATGATGGCTCCATTCAGAGTAGTACTCTGCCACTGTAACTGAAGATTGACAATGTTCTTTATATACAAAGTTCCTATTAACAGAACAACCTCCAACATAGTGTGAGAAAAATGTGGTGCAGTTACAGTGATAATGGAGTGAGCTACTATTTGTAAAAACAAAGGTGGAGAGAATATATATGTAGTTGACTGCATGCAGAAGGACTTTCTAGAAGCATATGCAAGAAACCTGTAATACCGATGCCTCCAATAAAAGGAACTTCAGGACTTGAGAATGAGGATGGAATGAGACTACACTGTACATACCTTTTGAACTTTCTGAATTTTCAATCATGTGAATATATTACCTTTTAAAATAAAATTGTCTTTGAACCTTTTTCCAAAATAAAGTGTACCATGGTTATATTCTAAAGCCAAACTCACCAAATGTGTTTATAAATCCCTCTATCTGTAGATAGTGAGAAAATGAGCATTATTCAGTAAATTACTTCAAGATATGAACAGAGAGAACCTTGGAGACTTGAAACTAAAGTCACTGAGAGGTCTTATAATGTTGGTTTATTCTTTAATATCAGTTAAAGGAAATAAGTGTTAAGTCATTTACATCTTTTTGATAATTGACAACAAATTTTTGCAAAACTGTTCTAAGTTTTTTAGTGCAGTTCTAGGTAATATGGTGAATTAGTTTGGAGATAATTCATTTTGAAGGATAATCTTGGGGTTTCCCTGTTCGTTTTTGCAATTTGGAATTATGTTACCACCCAAGTAGGGCAACTTTGGGTATTTGTGCTTTTTAAACGTACTGTGGTTAGGTTGTGTGTGTTACAGAATTTTTTAATACAGATCTGCTCCTGACAAATCACACCCACCCCGTGAAAAGTTTCAAAACTGCTTACCTCCTCCAGTTGACTGCAAAGTAGCTTTT